TACTACTAGTAAGGCACTTGTTCCTAGTAGCGATGCACTTGTTCCTAGTAGCTCCCGTTTGTGCAACCTTTCAATAAAAGACCTTTCGGTACTTCATGGTTTTCTCGCCTGGTCAAGGAGTAGTTTGAGCTGAAGATGCGTGCCAATTCACACTCAGGAAGCTTTGGCGATGATGAAAATGAGACCGATGACAACGAAAATGTACCTTATTGTGATCTTATTTCATGATCTTATTTTGTGCACATGATATATTTCCCTGTCAACTGAACACAGGACATGCGGTGCGTCTTGGTTGGGCGCCGGCACCTGCCCCTCTCCGCCTTCGGCTAGGGCTCACTAACCTCGACGTCAGATTCAAAACCCCCTAACTTCGGTCAACAAGATTTGAGATTGAAAGTCTCATAAAGGTGATGACCTGATAGACGATGGTTGATGGGATTCTGTCGGGAAAGCTCGCTGAGATAGCGGGGGTGCCTATTAGTGCCTATAGGCCTATACTGGGTCTGATTGGTGGAGTGAAGGATTGGTTTGATCTGATGGCTTGTGGCTCCGCAAAAGAGAGATGTATAGCTAGAGCGTATTGGGCCATGGGCGTTTCAATATGGAGGAGATGGGTCCCTTCAACACTATGATGTCTATTCAGGACAATGTGATTGGGTCGTTGTAAAGCAAGGGGTGATGTATCCAGCCATCAGCATCCATATATATATATATATACATATGGGGGATTGTTTCACTGCATCATTTTCTGATGGTACATCCAAGATGATGTTTGCAGCGCATCAACTGCAGCCTATCATTCCTGTTTAAAGATTGCAGCTATGATGCAGCTAACAGGTGCTGACTTTGGCTATGTGTTTAAGAGCTTATCAGGACATCTGTTGATGAGACGATCAAATGAGCATGGGTATGCTATTGCAGAAGGATGGGGCTATCACATCTCCCAATTGGACAAGGATCCGACCAAGGAATTGTGTCGAACAAGTCAGCACAGGATTTGCAAAAAATGCTGATTACATGCAGGCGTATCGCTATTACTTGGGGTTTGAGATGGGTAGGGCCGGGTCGGGGTGGTTTCTTCATCGTAAAAAATTGAGGAACCCAATGGGCACAAGGACCCCTGAGCTTGATTCTGAGCTGCGGAAGAGATGAAATGAGAAAAGCTCGTGGACTCCTCGATCGCCGTCATGTGAGGACACACGCCCTCTTTCCTTTGCGCTTGCTTTTCATTGCCTACCCCAGCTTCTTCAGGGCAGGTCTAGCTCCACAGACCTGTCTCCTTGTGAGGGCTTTGCCTTCATCTCGTGGCCTTCAAGCCCACAGGATTCCCGGCCACACCGGCCTTCTGTCTTGAAAACGTTGCGAAGGTGCTGCGCCCTATTCCTGCAGTTTTTAGTTTTTCGATGGCGATCATCGATCCTGGCGGCTACCGCGACTTCAGAAGACGTGCCTTGCTGGCTGTGGCTGAATCGGAGGACAAACATGCGCATTTAGCTGGCGATTTCAGCTCACAAATCCTGCTAAGCGAAGGTCGAGGCTCTGCGCGCACCTGAGAGGTGAGCCCTCATGACACTGTTGGCTAAAGCGGCTAAAAGTTCACACTCGTGATATTGCGCTTAGACGGTCTTGCCAACACTCCTTGATTGGATCCATGTCTTTGCCAGCCACCTCATGAAGCCGCTCAAGAGCTTTCGAACCCAAAATTGCTGAAATCGTACCTTTTTCCTGCCATGGCCATACGTCGTTCAATGAGACGGACACCGGCAGCGACTGCACTCGGATACGCCGGCACCTCAGAGCGTGGAAACGTTCGAGAGCTTGGAGCTTGGGCTCGAATGGAAACCAGCCTTTGCTTTTAGTAACAAGTGCCTTACTAGTAGTAACAAGAAACTACTAGGAACAAGTGCCTTACTAGTAGAAACAAGAAGCTACTAGGAACAAGTGCCTTACTAGTAGGAACAAGAAG